AATAATAACTACATGACATTAACAAATAAGCCACTAAGAAGATGCATGTTTCTAACAATGCAATTAATTTCTACTCCTAGAAGGAGAAAGTGAAAAATCAGACCTGAAAAGTTTGGTTAGAAAAACAAATAGGCAAGGGGCGCCTGGGTGGCTCAGTGGGTTAAGCCTCTGCCTTCAGCTCAGGTCATGATCTCAGGGTCCTAGGATCAAGCCCCACATCAGGCTCTCTGCTCAGCAGGGAGCCTGCTTCCCCCCACCCCCGCCTGTCTCTCTGCCTACTTGTGATCTCTCTCTCTGTCAAATCAATAAATAAAATCTTAAAAAAAAAAAAAAAAAAGAAAGAAAGAAAGAAAGAAAAAAAGAAAAACTAATAGCCAAGTTTTTTACCCCAATTTTTTTTTAAGATTTTTATTTATTTATTTATTTATTTGACAGACAGATCACAAGTAGGCAGAGAGGCAGGCAGAGAGAGAGAGGAGGAAGCAGGCTCCCTGCTGAGCAGAGAACCCGATGCGGGACTCCATCCCAGGACCCTGAGATCATGACCTGAGCCGAAGGCAGAGGCTTTAACCCACTAAGCCACCCAGGCACCCTACCCCAATTTTTTAAATATCAAGTTTAATATGTGGAAAGCCACCTGCTAAAAACTGAAGCCAGTAATTTAATTGTACTTGAAAGCCTTTAATCACTAGCATTTAAGCTTACAACCAAACCCAGACTAATAGAAAACATATTTATATATTCTCTTTTCTTTTGCCTACCTAAACAGTATGACCCAAGGACTATTTCTGATATTACCCTATTTAAACACCTACTAAAATTTTATAATTCTAAGTGGTAACTTTTAAAACATTACATTACACAAAAACCCTAGAATAGTATCTTAATATTGATCTATAACTAATGCACTGTGGAATACCTATGCTGGTTAGCACTGTGGCAAATACGGAGGATGTCCTAACCTTACCACTCTAGAGCAGATTTTCAAAAATTTTCAAAGTCATCTTCTTTATCGGCCATGTATACGATGTTTGGTATGTATAGCACACCAACTAGGGCAGCAAAATGGTAGACAATATTTAAATTTTAATCATTAAAGATGAACTTGTGGGGCACCTGGGTCAGTTAAGAGCCTGTTTTCGGCTCAGGTCAGGATCCTGGGATGAACCCCACACTGTGCTCCCTGCTCAACTGGGAGCCTGCTTCTCCCTCTCCCTCTGCCTGCCACTCTCCCTGTTTGTGCTCTCTCCCTCTCGCTCTCTTTCAAATAAATAAATAAAATCTTAAAAAAAAAAAAAGATCAACTCGATACTTAAGAAAGATAAGTGGTCACCTTGGGGGGATGCTAATAAATCCAGTCATTAAAACAAAGAGAAAGAATCAAATATTTATTCTGCTTGCTTTCCCTTCAAGGAACTGTCAAACAGCTGACAAGAGAACGCTTATCTATGTATGTTCTGCCAATAAAGAAATGATAGAATTGGAATATCACAGTTTTGCAAATTCCTAATGAAAAAATCAATACATGTAGGTAAAACTCACTGATAGCGGAGACACTTATAAATTATTCTAGGCTTCCCCCACCAAACAGAATGTGAATCAGCCAAGTCTCTAGATCTGCTAGTGTGCAGACACCAAGAGAGAAAAACAATTATAATCAAGGATGTAACCAGCAAAATCCAGACTGAGGAAAACGCTAAAGTCAAAAGCTGGTTTTGTCAACAAATAAATAGAAGGAACAAAAAGTATGGTGAGGGAGAAATATTTAACAGACATGTTAAAATATTTAACAGACATTTTCAACAAATATGATGTGTATACTTTAAATACTGAATCAAACAAACAGCAGGAAAATAAATTTATGATACTATAGAAAAGTTTGAATACTGACCAGGTATTTGATGATTCAAAGAATTATCGTATTCTGATTGTTTTTAAGAAGAGTTCTTGTTTTATAGATATACTTTTAAATACTTATTAGATAAGATTATGTTGTCTAGGATTTAAAACAATGCAGGAGTAGTAGATTATTGATGAAAACATTACTGAACATGAATCGAAACAGGATGACAGATACAAAAGTGTTCACTATATTATCTTATGTCCACTTGAAATTTTCCATAAGGAAAAGCTTAAAAAAGATGAACTTAAAAAGGTCTATATGACAATCCACAAGCATAAGGACAAAATACGCCTCACTCCGAGGTCAAAACAAATGAAAATCTTAACGGTGAGTTAAGCAAGCATTTTCCCTACACACACACACACTCTTAAATGAAATATGAGAAAATGAGACCAAAGAGGTAAGTCTTGCTCAAGGTCACAAAATAAAATAGGAGCAGAACCAAAACTTGACTTCTCAATTACAAGCCCACAAAGAAGTCCAAGTTGGAGCTAAGGTAAAAGATCTGTGCAATCCTGAAGAAGACTGATGGCCCATCAAAGGTGTTAAAAACGGTATTTAAAGTTGGGTGAAAAAAAAAAAAGGCAGGTGTTTTGAAAGACAAAATGCTAGAATGAGAACAATAAGCCTAGGGTATAGGGACCTGGGCATTTGGTAATCATCCTCAACAGGGGAGCAGAAGTGTTAAATCTAGGATATATATTTGGAAACTATTTGAATTCAAGGTGTTGGTAGAAAAAAAAGTTGTTACCTAGCTTACAAGCTTATACTTAAACTGATGAAACATTAAATCATTATTTTAATAACAATTTTTGAAAATCGAAAAAATCTTAAATCTTATTACTTGCACAACTGATTTAAATCTTAAACATAAAAATGGATTTATAAAAAAAAGGGGGAGTGACTTATCTTCCTGTCCAAAAATAGGCTTTAAAATTTGACCATGAAGGGTCTTCGTTATCTACTCAGACATCTTCATAAAAAGAGTGAAGATTCATATTTATATTAAGTTATCAAGAATAAAACTCTGGGGGGGCGCCTGGGTGGCTCAGTGGGTTAAGCCGCTGCCTTCGGCTCAGGTCATGATCTCAGGGTCCTGGGATCGAGTCCCACATCGGGCTCTCTGCTCAGCAGGAAGCCTGCTTCCTCCTCTCTCTCTCTCTCTGCCGGCCTCTCCGTCTACTTGTGATCTCTCTCTGTCAAATAAATAAATAAAATCTTTAAAAAAAAAAAAAAAAAAAAGAATAAAACTCTGGGTATGCCAACAAACTATTTTTTTTTTAAGATTTTATTTTTAAGTAATCTCTACACCCAATGTGGGGCTCAAACTCTCAACCCCGAGATCATGAGTTGCACACTCTACCAACTGAACCAGCCAGGTGCCCCATACCAACTTTTCAATAAGCACAATGACAAAACAAGAACTCCACCTACAAGCAACATAACTAATGAACAAGACAATGTAATGCCATTTACCTTTTATCATCCTAAAAATATAAAACCTACTAAGTTTAATGTATTTTTAAATAAATCATTTTTAGACCACCAGACATTCATACTAAAATGCATTTTAATTTTTGGCTGACATGTGTTAGTGACTATTTTCAAAAGTGGTGAATTAAATTCCTTTTTTATTAGAAGAGTGGTCTATTTTTAAAAAGACATTTCTGGCATTAAATTACACAAGACTAAAAAGCTATTTTAAAAATCCATATCAAACATTTCAAAGTGGATGTCCTTCAGTAATTTTGAGAACTACCAAACCAGGAAGTCAAAGAAAATTCCAGTGTGATCTCTAAAATTTAGTATTAGAGATAACTGAGATCGTTTGTTAAAGAATAACTTGTTCTTTAAAAAGCTGAATAAAAAAGGAGCCCAGAGGGATAATGCAGAAACAGAAGCTGAGACTTGAGAACTTCACCAGACTTAAAGTAACTCAAGTAGTAAATTAGAGATGTTTCTCTAACCCTCGCCAATATCTTCAAACTACTAATGTAGCTCCTCTCTTGAAAAACATGTTTTTAAGTAGTATCTTTCTCCCCCAACAACCCCAAATCAAAGCTAAGGTGTAAAAATTCACATAAAGACAAACACAAAAATTTCCTTTTAAATGCGAAAATAGGGGTGCCTGGGTGGCTCAGTGGGTTAAAGCCTCTGCCTTCAGCTCAGGTCATAATCCCAGCGGGGAGCCTGCTTACTCCTCTCTCTCTGCCTGCCTCTCTGTCTACCTGTGATCTCTGTCTGTCAAATAAATAAATAAAATCTTTTAAAAAATGCAAAAATAAAATATATTAAGAAGTCATAATGGATAAAAGCATGGACCTGACTCAGGTGGTTCTGCTTCTCATAGCCTGTTTAACCTCTGCGTCAATTTTCATATCAGCAAAAGGGGATAATTACAAAACCCATCTCACAGGATTTTTGTGAGTCTCAAATGAGACAACACTCAGAAGGTCCTATCATCGCAGTAAACTTATAGTAACCACCTCAAACCAATAACCATTTTCACATAAGCAATAACCTTTTTTAAGCTAATTAAAAGGTTAACTATAGGAAAAATGCTGAATGCTCTTCTCATAAAAATATCTCTATCCCACCTCCAATTTGTGGGAGAAAAAGAAAAACACATAAACAAATATTTTATTTTTCTCCTAAGGTCATAATATCACATATAATTTGGGGATCACTTAAGAAAAATATCAAAACCAGGGGTGCCTGGGTGGCTCAGTGGGTAAAGCCTCTGCCTTCGGCTGGGGTCATGATCTCAGGGTCCTGGGATTGAGCCCCGCATAGGGCTCTCTGCTCAGCAGGGAGCCTGCTTCTCCCCCTCTCTCATTCTGCCTGCCTCTCTGCCTACTTGTGATCTCTCTCTGTTAAAGAAAGAAAGATCAAAACCATACCTACAGGATTTAAAAATTTGTCAGTATTGTGTATGTGTTCAAACCTGGAAAGGTGGAAAACAGAAAACTCCATGTTTTTAAATTTGGCCTCACCACTATGAATAAAAATATGCTACTCCATTAAATAAAATAAAGCCAGTCACAAAATTTTATAACAAAGTATTTTAAAACTTAGAAATAAAAAGGAAAGCAATTACCTTTGTACAATAAAGCATCCAAAGTTCAAAGAGCCTCTCTCTGGATGCCATTCTGACTTTCACTCTGGCACTTTAATTTTTCCTCCAAAAAAAATTGTGTTCAAGACCACAGCATGTTCATTTTATTCTCCAAATTTTTCAGCCGTTACAGTAAAGCTCAAAGCAGCAGGGAAAACAAAAAGAAGTGAAACAAATGGACTGTCTTCTGGCCAATAAAATTCAGTTCAAGCAGTTACTCCAACTTATCTTCATCAGTGTAGCTGGGCGATTAAATAAATCTGCGAAAGAGAAAAATACGCAAAGGTTTGCTAGAAACAAAGACCATATTTTTAAAAATGTAGATTTATCAGAACTATAGATGATTTTACTTCACTTCCCGCAAACAACCAGCTAAGCTTTTCTAGTTGAGTTCACAGAAACTAGTGCTTCAGGAAAACATCACAGCCAACACAATATTTCACACCAACATCAAGTCAGAATTCCCTACGGCAGATCCTGAAAGATGAGTACTCATAACCAAAAATTCATCCTGTTGCCACTCGTTTATTTTCTATAAACATAAAGCCACACTCAGTAGTGCTGTATTTCAAAGACAAAGAATCCCTTAGAATTTTCTAGTCCGCTTCTCAAAACTTGTTGGGAATGTTTGTCGTTCCGTCGCAGGGCAGGGCGTGGGGAGGAGGGTGAAGAATTCCTGGTTTGTTTATTTTAACAGTATGGGAGAGTGAAAGTTGCCCAGCCCACCTGGCCTCACAACCTCTCCATCCGGGAAGAAGAAAGGAGCAGCACAGACCCTCCCAGTGTTTTCAGGGATCTTTAAATTGCCTCCCCGCATCCCAGACAACCACAACAGAGGCAAACCTAAGGTGTGCCAAGCTGCGAGGAGAAGCTCTGGAAATGCAGCGACGCGAGCTCGGCATCCTCCGACCCGCTATCCACGCCCGGCCGACCGCACTGGGACACACCCGGGTCCCCCTCGCCCCCTCACAGCTGCCCCAGACTCTACAGCGCACCCCGGGCCCTCCCACATCTGCCACACAGCCACTTCGTCCCCAAGACCCGCTCCCCTCACCGCGCTCACATGGGGGGGGCTGCGCCAAGGCCGCCAGGCCGACGTCTAACTTACTTCCCTCGCCCCCTTCCCCAGCCGAAGCCCCGTGTCACCTCGCAGCAGGACAGGCGGGCGGGAGAGGGAGGCGGGGCGGGGACCGAGCGAGGCGGGGAGCGAAGGCCTGGACGAGCCAAGGGCGGGACCGTCCTCTCGGCTAATCACTCCGGCCTCTGAGGATTTATCCGGCCCCGGGGCAGGAGCTGTTCATTGGCCGCACAGGCTGGAAGGGGGCGGGTGACTTGAAGACCCGCCCCAGCATTCCTGCGCAGTCGCAGTCGACCGTGCTCCCGAAGATTCGGGGACTGGCGCCAGCTGGGCGTTCCAGCGAGTCGTACCCAGGCTGGACATGGAGGCTGACCGACGTGCTGACGTTCTTGCCCCGCCACGACAGGGGACGGTAGCGTTCGGCTGACGGCGTCATTTCCGGGATTCATCCGGGGGCGGAGAATCCTGGAGTGCTAACTGGAGGGGATTTCGTCTTGATTTTGTGTAGAAAGGGGTTTGGTCTTGGGCGCGTATACTAATGTGAAAACAAAACAAAACAAAAAGTCCTTTTCCCCTATTCGCGTTTGTGCTTTTTACTTTCCACGTTGCGAAATGTCCGATCCGAAGAGGTTATTTTGACAATACTAAAGGCTTCAAAGGGTTTTTGCTTTTTCTTGAAAACAAAAAGCAAAGGCTGCATTTCCTAGATACAGACAACTTTCAGGAGATATTAGTCTAAATGGAATGGGAAGATACGTAGATTAATCACCTCTGGTATACCCAAACGTTGTAAAAACTTTGTATTATGAAAAATGTCAACCATATACAAAAGTAAACGAGTATAAGGAAACTCCACATACCATCACCCATCTTCAAAGATTACCAACTAATGTCCTATCTTGTTTCATCTATACCAAAATTTGGCAAACTGTAAACAGTAATATTTTAGGTTTTGCGGACTGTCTTGCTTGGTACGTATTTAAAAATTAATAAAAGAATATTTAGTGACATTTGAAAATTAGGTGAAATTCAAGTTTTAGTGTTGGAAAGTTGGTTGGAACACAGCCATGCCCATTCCTTTACTTTTTATTTACCACCACCACTACCACTCTGAGGTGAGTTACCACTAAATCTTTTTGAGGTTATTATAACAGCCCCTGCCTCTGCACTCTCCTCACCCACGGATCTCCCAACACAGTAAGCAAAGTGACCTTTTAACCTAGAAATAAGATGTCACCCCTCTCCTAAAAACTCTCCAGTGGTTTCCCATCCCACTTAAAACAGTGAACAAGGACCTGAGTTTTCCTTCCACACTCAGCTCTCTAAGTTCTCCCGACTATACTGGCCTTCCCTTATTTCAGTCCAGACCAATGGCTTCCTTGCTGCTCCTAAAATTCACAAAGCTACTCCACAGTGATTTTACATAAGCTGTCCCTCTCCTTGGAATGCTCCTTCCCCAAATGTCCACACACAATCTTCACGTCTCTGCTGAAGAATCACCTTTTCCGTTAGGATAGTCTGAATGTTTGTGTCCTTCCAAAATTCTTATATTGACATCCTAACACCCCAAATAATGGTATTAGGAGGTAGGGCCTTTGAAAGTAGAGCCTGAGGGAGGAGTCCTTATGAATGGGATTAGTTTCTTATGAAATCAATTTCAGAGAGCTTCCCTAGCCCTTCTCACTACGTGAGAATACAAGATGTCTGGGATCTGGAAGATGGCATTCACATAATCACCCTATCTTGGACTTCCAGCCTATAGAGCTTTAAAAAAAAATTGTTTGTAATCTACCCAGTCTGTGGCAGTTGTTATACCAGCCCAAACACTATAAGACATCAGTAAAGCATCCCTCATCCTTTTCTTTGGAAAATAGCATCCCTTTTTCTCCCTTACTCTATTTTTCACTGTAACACCTAACAGCTGACATACAATTTCTTTGTCTATTATGAATTTCCCCCAGTAAAATGTAAGCACTATTAAAACAGGGACTTGGGTGCCTGGGTGGCTCAGTGGGTTAAAGCCTCTGCCTTTGGCTGGGGTCTTGATCACAGGGTCCTAGGATCAAGCCACGCATCAGGCTCTTTGCTCTGCGGGGAGCCTGTTTCCTCCTCTCTCTGCCTGCCTCTCTGCCTACTTGTGATCTCTGTCAAATAAATAAATAAAATCTTAAAAAAAAAGGAAAAACAGGGACTTTATTCACCGGTATATATTTTCAGGTCCTTGAATAGTGTCTTCTACACAATAAGTGCCCAATACATATTTGCAGACTATAAAATGAAATAGTCTATTTCGCCATACGTCTGTGTATTACTCTAAGTCTCTTCGTGAGTCTGTCAAATTCTGCTGCATTTAGATGACATCTAGGTGTCAGCAAGATGAAAACAAGTCTTCCACTGCTGAGATTTCTGACATCTCCCTGGAGTGGGGATAAGCATCAGTTTTATGAGTGGGTCCTTAACCAATACTTAGGTGTCTCCGCTAATGAAGCTAAAACCTCTTTATCTTCAGATATACCTCAAGGCAAACACATTTGCCATCTGGAGAACACATTTTCTTATTAAGACTGTTAGTTGCCGGGACGCCTGGGTGGCTCAGTTGGTTAAGCGGCTGCCTTCGGCTCAGGTCATGATCCCAGCGTCCTGGGATCGAGTCCCACATCGGGCTCCTTGCTTGGCAGGGAGCCTGCTTCTCCCTCTGCCTCTACCTGCCACTCTGTCTGCCTGTGCTCGCTCTTGCTTCTCTATGTCAAATAAATAAATAAAATATTTAAAAAAAAAAAAAAGACTGTTAGTTGCCTTCTGAAACAACATGGCCTTATGTTAAAATCATATTTCTGGCCTAATTTTCCTGACAAAACGTGTTAACCTTAAAAAGAAAACCAGAGGGGTGCCTGGGTGGCTCAGTCGTTTGAGCAGCTGCCTTAGGCTCAGGTCATGATCCTGGAGTTCCTGGATCAAGCCCCAAATCGGGCTCCCTGCTCGGTGAGGAGTCTGCTTCTCCCTGTGCCCCTACCCCCCCCTACTCGTGCTCTCTCTCTCATTCACTCTTTCTCTCAAATAATAAATTTAAAAAAATTTTTTTAAAGCCAGCAAAAATGGCTTTATCTGGGAATAACAGAATTGCAATTCAGAACATGCACTCTAAGGCAAAACCATATGCAAATCCAACAAACAAAGGAGAGGAACTTTATTTTATGGAGGAGGAGGAAGTTGGGAGGGATTGCTCTGAATGAAAGTCCATTGGACAAAAGCACGAGTTCTGCACAATGATGGTTTCTCACTGGCCACATTGCAGGGGTAGTAGATTTCTTGCAGAAGGTGCAATGTACCTCTCCCTATTGGGACTGTAACTGATGATTCTCCCCTGTTTAAGATTCTTCTTTTGAGGTCTATAATTGACAGTTCTTCTGGTAACTGATGTTGAATAGTACTGGCTCCCACTGGCTTCTAACCTCCCTTTCTATCTTTCCTACTCTACTGTAGTGAGGATTCTCTTTATTTTCGAAAGGCATACTCATGAACTGAAAAGGGTCTGCCTAAATCCACTGGATGTTTCTGTGTTCAAATAGCTTCTCCTCTGATAACAGGGTTAGGAGTCCCAGTTCATTTCAGGCATATAACCTTAGATTGTTACTAAATTAATTAACAATGCAAATTACATCTACCAAGACTATTGGATAACTTATGTAAATCAGTCAGGGCATTATCATCCCAGAAAAATAATTACATAAAGAAGTAAATTATAGGGGCACCTGGGTGGCTCAGTTGGTTAAGCATCTGCCTTTGGCTTAGGTCATGATCTCAGAGTCCTGGGATCCAGCACTACATCAGGCTTCTTGCTCAACAGGGAGCCTACTTCTCCCTCTCCCTCTGCCTGCTGCTCTCCCTACTTATGCTCTCTCTGACAAATTAATAAATAAAATCTTAAAAAAGAAAACTCTTCCTTAAAA